ATAGTTGGCAATATGGTGTTCTTGTAAAAACTAGTTGATGCCCGTGCAATGCACGTGTGTAAATATAGTTGGCTATTTAATAGTGTGGAGTGATTGTTAGATAGTAAATTGCATTAGATTTATAGTTATATAGTTCCTCCCAATCAGAGGACCAATAGAAGCACCTTGAAAAAGTGCAGAGGCCATAAGTAATGAAATTGCTAGATAGATGATTAAGCAGTAATTTACCATATAGATGATTAACCAAAAAGTGCAGAGACACTAATTGAATACCATATAGATGATTAACCAGTAGACATCCAAAACTGCTAGCACTAATATTTAAATATCAAACCAAATAAACAACATATTAAGTAACAAAAATGAAGGATAAAGTTCAAAAACCAAATAGATTAACGAGCTCAACAACTTCCAAATGCAGATTAAACAAAGAGGGAATGATCATAATACAATAACTCATAGTAACCTGGGATGTGTCATTATAGCACTGAAATACATTCATTAGAACCAGTCAGAATGTAATATGCAATGTGATTCTCAGGAAAAAAAAAGGAAAAAGGAAAAAAAGAAAACAAAGACATTGATTCAGTTGTCATGAACTTGCAGCGTAAATTAGACATGAAAAGGTTAAAACCATTTTTCAATCATGCTATTAATTATTAGAGGCTTCTCATGGAAATATTGAATTGATTTTTATCCCCTCGAATATAATTACAGCGATTAGACTTTACAGGCTTAAAAAACTCTCACTTCAGACGTCCCCTGTAAATATCATTAAATTATTGATTATGCAGATCAAATGGAAATATTTGTCATATCAAATCAATAGTTAAGTTCGTATCAATATCCAATAACAAATTATCAGCTACAACAAATTATCAGCTACATCTCCACATTCTGCATACAAAAAATGGTAATGTAGATCCTCCTTTACAGTTGTTTACCTGACATAGAATGTTCTTTAATGAATCTGGTGTGGCTACAGCTTTAAAGAAGATAATTCCCAAACCAGTATTCCTGATGAAATGCACACAGACAATGAAATCCTCGAACAGTGACTAAAAATTTAAGACTTGATAGAATTAAAAATCCAATGAACCAAACTCACATCAGCAAACTCTGGAATGATTTAATAAGAGGTCTCCCATATTAGGGTTGCTTCTTTATGTGCAGCATACGAAGCGATATATTTAAGAGAAAAATGCCCCTATAAATTTCAGGCTTCATGACTGCTGCCTGGAGACCAACAACTCCTGCATTTAGTAAGCGCATAAAGATTGTTTGCATCATACAAGTAACCGTTTTCAGATGACAAATACCTACGAAGCATGAACCTATGCTCTTGATCTTCTAGTTAAATTGGCTAACTTAGTATACATACCAGCTAAACCCAAAAGAAAATCATCTGCAAAGAACTTGAAACATCCCAGCACTTTGAGGTACAAGTGAAAATGTATCTTCAATCCATTGTCCACACCACTTGCATCTTTATCGATTAGAGATTAATTGCTGCTGACAAAATTTAACGAAAGTAGTAAACATTATGTTTCCTATGTTCTTATGCATGAAAAAACAACAAACCACACAATCCATCAACTCTATTGTTTATCAGGTGAGTGAGTCAGAAAACCTTGGGGGTGTAAAAACCAACGAAATTAAACAACACAATTAGTGCTTGTAGAACAACCAGCCTCAAATTGAATCAATTGTGTAAAAAAAAAACTTTTGAAACATGTCAATATGTAATATATCGGCAAACATGAGATTTCCAAATTTATTTAGAATTTATTCAACATACATGAATTAAACTTGAAGCAGAAGGGAATTTCAGATCTTCTGTTGACGGGACAACACTTTTCGTAAACACAATTGATGAAAAGAAAAGACAAAAGCATTACGAGCAATACCTCATCGCCTTTTCTGTAGTTTCTTTGCAGCCTGATATTGCTGGTAAGTATTCTGCATACATTGGTTAAATGAGCACAAAATCATTGAAACTACTAAAAAATTTCAAAAGAAATGAGAAAAGAAAGCCTTCCATATTCTGCATACATTGGTTAAATGAAAACAAAATCATTGAAACTACTAAAAAATTTCAAAAGAAATGAGAAATGAAAGACTTCCAAAAAATTAAAAACAAAAGAGAAAAAGAAAACTGTTGGTAGTAAAATGCAAAAAACAAAACATCAGTACATTATAAATGATCTGGCTACGTAGAGTGATTTTTAGTCATTGTTAATGTTAATTTAGCTGCTTCGAATTTTTTTTGTTGGCAATTCAGTTTTTTTTAATATTATAATACCATGAAGCCAGAAACAGCAGTATGACTTGTACCCAGCAAAGTTCCCAGTGCTATCTTCTCTTCTTTTTCTTCCAGCACCTTCAATGAAAAACAAGAACAAAAATGATGAGCTCCAAAAAAGTAAAACTCGGAAAATTGATCAGGAAGATGGCAGCAATCAAAAGATGTAACTCAATTGATAGAGAGGCTTCTGAGGTTCCTTACTCTATTGCTTCCGGAGGTCAATAACATCAGGGGTTTCAACCTCTGTAGTAGTGCCAAACCCATTCAACAAGGAAAAACAAGTCAGACTTGGAAACAACCCAAATAGGGTATCTAGAATTATTTAAAAAATACTAATAGAGGAACGTGGAAAATGAAGATTAAATCTCATACTAATCGCATGAATTGATGCTAAAGCTGAATCGACAATGTTATTGGAAATTTGTGCTTTATTCACTGTAAGCCCACTAAAAATAGAGTCGAATATAGCTCATTCAAATAATTATATTGAGAAAAGAAACGTGGATTTGAATCACTGAAAGCTCTACCTTTGATGTACAAATAGAGGTTTTGCAGAGAGATAAAGAAATAATAGCATGTATGTGGAATAGAATGGTGCCCAAAATTAATTGGCAAAACAAAATTGAACAATACGATACAACTCTCACTATGGAATCTCAATACGGTTCAGACGCCGGAGAAAGATGTGGTGGAGCTTAACAGAATTCCCAAAATAGGTACAATAAGCAAGACTAAACAAAAATAGGTTTTGAAAGGGATAGAGAAAAATAACAGCTACCTGGAATAAAGTGGGTGTCCAAATTCAGTTGGCAAAACAGGATTGAAATAAGTTGATCCTTAAGTTTAATAGATATATGGTATTTATTCAGTTGTCTCCATGCCGTGCACTAAGGCTCTGGGCACGGAGATGTTTTTTCGTGTCTCTGTGCGAGGACGGAGACACGAGCATGTGCCTCTGTCCCGTACACTGAGACGCTGCGTCACGGAGACAATCCCTCGTGTCTCCATGCACGGATGGAGATACACGAATATGCCTCCGTACCATGCCTGCCTCCATCCAAGGATGAAGGCAAATACCTCCATCCTGGCTTGTGCCGGCGTGTCTCGCACAGACATCGACTGTGTCTCCATGAGCGCATGAGTTTGTTTTTTTTTTTTTTTAACATTGAGATACATAAAACTATTAACCTAAAATTGTAATGGAGAGAAATGAATCGCAGATGATTAATCAAAATAAAAGCTTTTGAACTTTCTGCAGCTAAATGAAAATTAAGAAATCACCAACCAAAGGTCTCCCTACGAGACAGAAATACGGTGTCTTCGTTGCGCACAGAGACATGCGACATTGTCTCAATAAAAGAGAACCCAGAAAATCCAGGGAAATAGAAAATAAAAAGCAGTTTTTGTATACACAGAGAGAAAATAATAAATACCTTCAAAGGAATCAACTGGGTCGCTAGATTTTGTTAGCAAAGAAAGATGAAAAGCGGGCGTTGGGTTAAATTTAATACCTATGGAATCTCATAGGTTGTCGGGCAAGGATGTAAAATTCTTGCACCCATTTAGGGAATCGACATGGAGAAGGTGATAGGTTTTTCAAGCAAGAAATAGAGGAATAGGTGTGGTATATTTTGAAGCTAAATGAAGGAAAATCTGGTAAAATAATCAGCTTTATGCACTGATCTTATTCTTTTGTGGGATTTCACATATGTGGAGAGTTGGAGAAGGCAGACGAATTGGTTCGGTTCCGGTAAGGTAAAAACCGATATATGGGATTTCGCATGCGGTTGGAGAAAACAAGAGGATTGCTAGGGTTGTGACAATGCAAAAAGCTAGTGGTAGACAGCTAATTTCCATATTGAATGCTTTATACGAAACGTTTTTGGTAACATAATGAGGATTCAACAAGTGGTACAAAAAAAAAACTGTCTCTTTTATGTAGTTAGGATAGGATATATAATTAAAACAATTATAATCACTTCCCGAACAAAAAGTACACAAAGTTTTCCCCTCATAGTATTTGGACACAAACGATCACGAGACATTCTAAACATTGAAAAATTGAAGATCATAGTTCTGCATAAAAAAAGGAAAGAATTAGAAACACAAATGCTACCATAAGCAAAAGTTTAAGTAAAATTAAAATATGATACAACAAATAAAAATGTGATGACAATATAACTGTCCAAATTAAAATCCTGCTTTGTTTTCGAATCTATTCCATTTTTTATCGCAGGAAAACACAAACTGAATTTTGCACTCTTTCATCGCTGGCTGCTTTCACTTCCGAGTACAAATCTAATACCCATCTTCACAGTAAACAGCAACTCAGGTTGAAATACTGAAGTAGAATGTTTTTCATGTGACCATATTAACATTAAGGTAGTAAAAGAAACTAAATTCACGAGAAAACAGTATTTCGATAATTACAAACTAAGTAGTAAGTTAGTTTGAAACATAAGCATTAGCTGATGTAGCATAAATATCAACTCAGGAAATAAAAATAAAACGACAGGCTACAAAGTGCGACTGCAAGTTCCTCCCACAGTTACAAGACTTGTTTTACAGCTAACACAAAACCATACGAGGAACACACAGCCAATACACTCATTCCACCAAAACTCTCAAGAATCAACTTGATCAAAAATCCCAGTAACTGTCTACACTTACGCTGTCTTCCAACCTCAGTTTCCGGTTATTCAGGAATCATTTGCTCGTTATCAGCATCACCTTCCTCCTCGATTTTAGGCTTTGATGGACCTTGGCTTGCTCCAGGTGCCTGCTTCTTCTTGATTCCACTCACTATATCGTCAATTCTCAGAAGGTATGTTCTCCGAAGATACCGTCAGATGAATGCCTGTGCCTTCACAGTGTATGAATCCCATATCTCAAAATTCAGAGATACAATCAATTACGGGAACCGTGAGAATAGTGAAGTACACATTGAAAGGATAAATATGAAGCAACTAAGATAATTTGCAACTCAACGCTTTAACAATTACAAAAATAGCCGATAAGTACAAGAACGAATAGCTTTGATGCTTGAGAGAATGTTAAATAGTGGTAAATGAGCCCTTGCTTGAAATGATCATTTAAAATAACTTCTCTTCCACACCTATTTTTAGCCATACATTCTTCAAAAAAAAAAATCATTTTTCACATTTCCCCATATCTTTTTCCTACTTTTTAACCACACCTCAAAAAATTATTTTCACACAAGCACTAAATATTTATGTTTGAAAAGACATAACTGAAGCGTTTTTCCTTCATGAGAATTGGCATAAGCATCAAGACGCTTTGAGGCGTAAACCTCATAGTAACCAAAAAAATGTCTAAAAAATGTTAAAATGCAAAATAAACTCATAATAAATTATAAACAATCTTCAAAATTCATGAAAATAATTTGAACTGTGCAAACAAACAAAAGAAAATCTATCAAGAAACGGTTATGTTATTCGTGGTGGCAATTTGGGTCTTATGAGAAAGACAAATTTTTAATGTTTTCGTGGACAGTGGGCTATTTTCAAAATGCCAATTAGAAAATTTTATGTTTTGCGGGCCAAAAACCTTGGGCATTGCTGTGAGGCGTGTGCCTCACACAACTGCAGCGTACGCCTCCAAAAACTGCCTTAAATTAGCACCTTGAGGAGATTTTGCACACTAAACTCTGAGGTGGGCCTTAACGTTTCAAATATATATATATTTTTAAAACCAATTAAATATCAGTAACCATTGGCACATTTGAGTCAACAGCAGATACCACCTACTAATTATAACCAACACTAAAGCAAAAAAGGACAAAAATCATACCTTGCGCTCATTCATATCAGCAATTTCACCGGCATTCCCATCTATGCCAATCCATGCGTTCTCACCATTTGCATGCGATATATAATATACAATCATTCTGAGATACACTTATGAGTTAGTATATCAAAGTAAACAAAAGAAAGGAGATTTTACCTTTCCTTGCAAGGCAGTCATAGTTTGAATCACATTGACTCCACATTTCTGTGCCAAAGTCCGTGGTATAGCCTCAAAAGCAATTGCAGCAGCTTCATAAGGCCACTGTTAATGCATGAAAGCAAGTATTAGAAAGTTCGAAAAAATGACTAAAAGTTATCTGTATCATACAAAATAGTGTTATACGTGCAAGCTAAGTGCTCAAATTACTTCATGATTCCAAATAAAATTTGACTGCAAGTCTGCAACAGATGATAATTATATTTTTGATCGACTCCTAACAAATAGATATTTTTGCAACATTTTCTTTTCTGGAGTTCAGAGGTAAACATGGTTATTTAAAGTTGAAAAAAGATTTTTCTGAAAGAAACAGAAACAAATAATAAATATTGCAGATCAGAGCATGGAACATTGTGCTTCACCTTTTCTATGCCTTCAATAGAAGAACTTCTTTGCTTCAACATAGCAGAGACGGTCAACTCAGTAGCACCTCCACCAGGAACAAGTTTTGGATTTTTTATTATTATATTTCTTGCTACAGACATTGCATCCTGTTCAGACATTTTGGAAACTCTCAGTGACCGCAATGTAAATAGGTGATAAAAAAATATTGGGGATACAAAAATCAAAGATACCTGCAAATTTCTCTCCTCTTCCTTCAGTAGATCCTTGCTAGCACCCCTCAAAAGTAATGTGCATGCTTTTGGATCTTTGCAATCAACAATGAATGAAAAGAACTCATCTCCAATTTTCCTTACCTCGAATAGACCAGCACCAGTACCAACATCAGATTCCTGCAACTCATCGGGTCTGTTAACAATAACTGCCCCACATGCCTTGGCAATTCTGTTATTATCCGTCTTCCTAAGCCTTCTGATTGCATTGACACCGGCTTTGCTTAGATAATGGCAGGCAAGATCACTAAGCCCCTTTTCAGTTATTACCAAATCCGGTTTAAACTTCAGTATCTGCATGCATAGGTTATCTATGTATTCTTCTTCAATTTTTAGCAAGACACTCCAATCTTCTTCTCTTAACAATTCGGCATTGGTTTGGTTCTCTCCTTTCTTGTACTCAAGGGGGCAATCAAGAAGGATGATTCTTGGATTTAGTATTTTTCTTCTCATTTTACCTGGAGCAACAACACCCTTGTTAAACATGACTCCTTTCAAAACCATTGAATCTTCCAACTGGCCACCAGGAACCTTTTCTACCTTAATGTACATCTTGATATCGACCTCACGTAGATCTCGGCCAAGATCCACACCAACCCTGGTTATGGCATCTATTGCTAAATCCTAGAAGTTTCACCAGAATAAATATCCTGTGGGTACTACTTTAATCAAAATATGAACTATAAAACATTGTACTGTAATGGCTGTGTTTTAATTAGGTTTTCTCATAAAATCATAATTTTATGTGATCTAATTTCACCTGAAACGGAACAAGTAAAATTCTTTATATCTCACCTTCCATATCAATGCGGCCAGCATAGACTCCAGTTTTCCACAGCTTACGAAATTTAATACATCAAGGAATATAGTGTGTACATATTTATATTAGGGAATAGGAGACTGAGCACGAGGGGGTGTTGTTGAACAATTACAGTGCACAAGTTAACACATGAGTGAATACCTACTGCTATCAGATCCCCAAATTGACTAGTAAATTTTGTCCCAATAGAACTCTTGACAAGTCCTAACATAGATGCACCTGCCAGATAAACATCAGCATAATTAGATACACAACATTAGAATTCCAAGAGAGAAGGAGAACTGGGGATCTTGAAAACAAATGCAACAATGTCTTCCACAACACATGATGCAAGGAAAACACTAGAAAACTCAACAAAAGCCTAAAGTGATCTCTATCACTTCGAGTTGAATAAGAAATCACAATTTGAAACAAAAACTCTACCACGTCATAGTTTAAGTTGCCAAAAATGAGACTATTGTTCGAAAGAACTTCATGAAACTCCTTGTTCCATCATCAATAAGTAAAAGATGGGGCATATGTCCTCTTTTATCAGTTGAAACAGATGAACTCATAGATAAACTAAGACCAGCTTTGATATGACGCCAAATAATTGCGAATGCAGTGCCCTCAGTCTCATTTAAGCAGTGAGCAACAACTAAAAGTTCAGATACTCAGTGTGGAAAAAGTATAAGGAAACAACAAAAGAATATTAAGAATAAGGAATGAAGGATCTGATGCACTGTGAAACTCACATAAATAGCAAACAGATTTAAGACAATCTGAGCCACAACCATGTGCTAGACTTTTACCATACTCCCAATTTAAAGATCACAGCTAAAAACATCACAATTTGTACTATCATTTTGCAGATCCTGTCGTCAAGTTCAAAAATGAATTTGCCCACAAGATCTAATTCTTTAGTGTTCTCTAACAAGCAGGCCACAAAGGGCAGCCAAGGGAAGAGAGCTTAGGGGAAAGAAACATTACTGAGCATAAAGATGAGAAAATATTTTAATAACACAGTGAAAGGAATAAACAGAGATGCCTTATAGGGAAAAGCTGGCTTTACATACTTTGACAACAAGACATGTTCATAATCCTCTTGCCACAAGGAACACGCCAAAAAATCTACACCATTCTAGGTAAGAGTTTGCAGTTAAATATGAAATACTTCCAGACTTTCAATTATAAAAATAGAGAGGTAAAACTTACGATCCTTCACGTCGACAGTCACTGCAATTTTGTCAAGCACGGCAATGACATCCTCTAGAGCTTTATTATAAGCTACAGTGCAGTAGCATAGGAAACTTGTCACCCTGGAGAACAGGAGAACAGAAAATAGCAAAGGAATAGTATATTACCTCGACAGATGACTGTAGGATGATAGTTTTTGTCAATGAATGCTTCTGCAACGTGGAGCATTTCACCAGCTTCAACAAAAACAAAAAAATTTATGCAAAAATTGAGCCTTCACCATAATCATCAGTGTATATAGTATTTCTTGAATTTTTTTTATTATTATTTTTTCTTTGTTTTTTTTTTAAGGCACACAGCAAACCCTTAGCAATGAAGCCTCTGTTGGGAAAAATCGCCTCGAACGCAGGAATTGAGATTAACGATGAATTGAAATAACAAAGATCACAAGAAAAAGAACAAGATTAAAGTAAAGAAAATAGAGGAGAAATTGGCAGAGGAATCGATGTATATGACTAAGATGGAAATAAGGAAATAATAAAGAAAACGTGAAGAGGTAGCCAATAACATATTCTCTTGCCTTAAAACTTGGTTCCAAATTTGTTTCCTTTCCAAATTTAATTCCACACGTTTTTCTTCACATAGGGTAAGCCAATTTGGGGCACAATCCCAACAGCCTCAAGCCATCATGACACACTACAATTCTCCAAACCAGAATATTATATGCTTTTCATTGAAATCCAGCCATTTTTGGGGGCTTCTGATCCAAAAATGCCATTCAAAATGCTAACTCCAAAATTTATCATGCCGTGGGAGATTCAGTTGAGTAAATAAAAAGAGTGAAATGACATTAAATGATCAAAAGACATGAACCAGTCTTGCTTTGGTAGTGGATGGTTAGAGAAATTACCCGTGTCATCAATCTCTATTCACACCCATTAAAATAATGAATGAAACATCTTGGTTAGAAGAACCAATATATACATCACACAGGGGCACAAAACAACATGAATAAAAGTAAGCAATCTTTACCAAGAATGATAACAGATGTTGTTCCATCTCCTACCTCCTCATCCTCTCAAGCCGAATCGAGTTAGTAGCTCTGCCACCAAATCCCAAAAAGCATATATGCGAAAGAGCAATCAAGAAATAAAATTAGAGTCAAGCATACGGAGCTATATTCAGAGAAACACAATACAATCAAATGCAAGCAGGTGTTAATAGGAGTTAAACGGCTTAAAATTAGAGAAATTCAAGGGGAAAGAACAGAAGAAAGAGATTTTACCTTTGCCGCAGGATGTGCAATATCTAACTCTCGGGAGAATAGCATTTCCATCATTTGTCACCACGATACCTGATATGCAGAAAATGAGATTTGAACAGAGACAGTAAAAAATGAAACAAGGAAACAGAAAACTGAATTAAATGAATATCAGCTGCGGCACTCCAATTGACGAGCTGCCTCCTCATTATAATAGCTGCCTCCCCCGCCAAAGCAGAAAATATTAGGTAACTGAATGACAAAATGCTTCTGCATTTTTTGTACTGAAAACATTCTCCTCATGCCTCATCTCAACCCTCATCATTCAATGGTTAACATGGAATACATACACTATAATACTATATGATAATAATAATAGTTCATGAAAATAAAATTCCCCTTCAATATCTTTTAAATAAGGGAAAATATGGTTCATAAAGTCACCTCCAGCTGCATCAAGCAGCATCTTCAGCATAGATCGTGGACCCAAAGTAGTACGAATAATATCAGCGACAGGCCGACAGCCTGAAGAGGATAATCCAAATTTCGGCAAAGATAAATTTAGTTTAAAGATATGGGAAACAAATGGAAAAACAGCATCATTGTAAACCACTGAAATAAATTTTGCAAGAATTATAGAAGGGTGAAAATTTCATTCATGTAACATGGAGATACTTCAAACAAATCATAACCTAATGACATTTCAAAAATACTTTCAAGAAACTCATAAGGCCAATTAAAGTTGGTTAATTCATGCTAGTCATCTTAGAGCTACACCAATAAAGCAACCCCTTCCTCCAAACCAACCAAATAGAAAATCTACAGCTTGAATGTTGCATATGTGTAAACTTCCACTCTTTACTTCACAAGATACATATAGCATACATAGCTCAATCGACTTACAACCATGTTACTCTTTAGTAAGGGACAAGTTGAAAACCATTAGCAGACAAAGATTAACAAGAAAGAGGATGTGAATTTATCCTACCTTGGAAGCTTGGATATTGCCATAGTGCACCTTGTTTCCAGAGTCCCGCTTCAATGAATCTTCTGCTCCATTGAAATCAGAATTGCACATCAGCAAAGGTAGAAGGTAAAACAAGTTAATGGATAGCTTAAGCAAATAAAGCCTGAAAAACAGTAGCCTTCTTTCAGTAGCCACTACTGGTGCTGGAATCAAAGGATTATACTCCTATTGGCAAATAGGTTATCAGTTTATAGAGGATGAGAATAAAGTATTGCAGTTCACCTCGTGCTTCCATCAAACAAAGCACTTGGCTCCTCTTTGTTAAATTAAGAAAGCTGTTTTAAACAGAAGGAAGTCCTAATTCATTCGAAAATGGTTTTGTTTCATCCCATTTCCCAAGTTACACAAATTCCGGCCTCTTCTGGCTATGTGTGTGAAATCGGCTTACATATAGTTGCTTATAACTACCACCTATATAGCCAAAGAAAACCATGGGTGCTTCCTATATACTAGCATTCTTGAGTGTGGTTTGAGGTTAGTGGTCGAATGGATGGCATGGGTAGAGCTATCTTGACTTCCTCCACACAGTACGCCGCGCTCTCGTCACCCCCGGTGGCACGGTATGCCTTCGTTGATCTGTTCTGACAATACAGATGAATGTCTCTTTCTCCCCCGTCAGTCGAACCACTTTACGGTTCAATGCTTGTCTGTATTCCTTTCAGCAGGTAGCTATTCAGATAAGTTTCTTTCTGACGTGCTGCTAGCTTCCTTTATTTATATCCATACCACGTTTGGGTCGGTACTTTGGTCTGGACATCCCCCACATGATTGGAGATGGAAGGATTGCCTCTCCCTTCTAGGGAGGCTTATTTATCGTAAATTGACGGACGAGATAGCTTTGTCACCAACGCCTTCTCCCATTTGTTTAATCTACTTCCTAAGTNTATACTTGGGACAATTATTGATCAAGCACAAGCCCTTTTTGTGGAAGGAAGGAGTATGATGGAGAATATCCATCTTGTCAAGAGCTTTTGAGACAATACAATCGTAAGAGAGTTGCCCCTAAATGCCTCCTAAAAATTGATCTCAAGAAGGCATATGATTCGGTGGATTGGAGCTTTCTCAAAAGCGTGCTTCATGGATTAGAATTTCCTAATAAATTCATTAATTGGACGATGGAATGTATTACCACGCCTGCGTATTCTATTGCTCTTAATGGTTGTCTCCATGAATTTATTAAAGGGAAAAATGGGCTTCGCCAAGGAGACCCTCTCTCTCCCTTTTTATTTGTGATTTGCCTAGAATAGTTCTCAAGGATGTTGAAGTGTGCAACCGAGAATAGTGAGTACAATTTTCATCCTAAATACGGTTCATTAAGGATTACTCATTTGACTTCTATGGATGATTTGGTGCTTTTCTCTAGAGGAGATGAAATTTCGGTGGCATCTTGATGAATTGTTTATCCAAATTTGGAGGCACGTTGGGTCTCAGGATGAATGTTTACAAATCTAGCTTGTACATGAAGGGTGTGCATGGGAAAGAGCTTAAGAATATCTATGGCCTCACTAACATGCCCAAGGGATCTATGCGTTTTAGATACTTGGGTATTCCACTTGCGGTTCAAAAGCTTAAAATCAGCTCTTATGATACTTTTTCAACAAAATATCAGCCTATACTTGTGCTCATTATCTTATGCGGAGAGTGCGGAACTTGTTAGAACCGTCCTCCAAGGTGTTGAATTTTTTGGCTTTTCGTTTTTCCTATTCCAGCTACAATTATTTCCTGGGTCATTTGTCTCCGTTGAAACTTCCTTTGGGGGTCTAAGAAACCATTAGTCGCTTGGAATCTCTGATATTCAGACTCTTCAAAATAGTTGGAGTACCCGTATTGGACACGATAGACATGGGTATGAAATATATGTCGGACCCTCAAAATTTCAACCGGACACTTCGTGGTTTTTGCTTCTTCCTTCTTTTTCTTCTTTCTTTTCCTTCTTTTCCTTTTCTTTTCCTTTTCTTTCCCTTTTCTTCTTTCCCACTTTTGCTCTCCATAAACCTAGAGTCGTCGCAAAGAGGATGGAGAAAGGCGACGGTGCTAGGTTTTACCTTCTTTTTCTTCTTCTTTCTTTTTTCTTTCCATTTTCTTCTTTTCTTTCCTTCTTTCCCACTCTGTATCGGTGGTTTAGTTTTATTTGTATAAAATGAAAATGGATTCCATATAGTGCTACTTAGTGCTCTACTAAGTCCAAATTACAATCAAGTTTCTCATTTTCTATTTTATATAACATTTAGTAATTCCTATAATTGAAAACTAAACCCCACAATTCTATTTTTTTCTTCTTAACCCCTTATTAAATACTCATTTACTTCATTGTAAATAATTAATTTTGGTATATTTAAAATGACATTCTGGATTAGATAAAAAATTGAAGTTTGATAGACGTACCTACGTACCTGTATCTGAAATTTTGACTCTTTTTAGCCATGTCCCCGTATTCTATATTTTAGAAAATAAAAGATCTAACACTTAGATACGTATCCTTCAGCATCATAGGAAGAAAGACACGCTTTGGGTAAAGTGAATTAACCATGTATACTTAAGGAGGACAGACATAATGCACAGCCAACAAAGGGGACTCACCTCTCATCAAGAGGCTGCTGGAAATTAGGAATCAACTTACTGGAACTCACTAGAACACTCAGGCAGCTGCGGACAGATTGCTGGGATGGACAGAAGCGGGCTGTTTTAGCGTTCACAGGGCATATGATTTGAAAAAGTCAGGAGGGCCTGGACTACTCAAGGGTGGAGAGTGTACATCATTTTAGCGTACACAGGGCATATGATTTTTTCAGACAGGATGGAGTTAGGATGGCCTGGACTACTCAAGTGTGGAGACTTTACATCACGCCTAAACACTCTTTCATCATCTAGCCGGGAGCGCAATCCAAATTGCTCACCAAGGACAGGTGACCGCATCTCAATGTTGATGCCACTTCTGTTTTTTGTACTTTACATAAGGAAACTTGCCAACATTTATTTTTTGAATGCCCTATCTCCTCGCTTTTTTGGAAGAATATAAAGGATTGGTTGGGCATTAGAAGAGCGATGACTACTACTGCTAGTGCATTAAAGTGGATTAAGGAGGCTAAATGGACTTCTTGGCAAAGCAAGGTCAAGACGATTANACTTCTTGGCAAAGCAAGGTCAAGACGATTACATTAGCGAACACCGTCTACTACATCTGGATGGCAAGAAATAGGAGGATTTTTGAGGACTTGAGACCCCATGTTGATAGACGAACCAAAACACATGTATACAAAATTATGTTCTCTTCGTATCCAAATATTTTGATTCATTTTGAGTCGTTAATGATGGGCCATTAGTCCATATCATTTGTACATCTTTTTCTCTTTTGTTTGCTTAGGTATGTCCGGAATAGTTGTATAACCCACTTGATTGTTGTTTGCCCGGGTATGGTTGGAGTACTTGTATGTGAATTTTAATCCATATTAATTTAATTGACCAATTAAAAAAAATGGATATCCTTGTTTAATAACTTTAGTTCACATCGATACACCATAGGCAGTTGCCTAAATTAAGCCTTTTTCAACATGTGATTAAGAGGACCAAATGAATACATCAAAGCAGATTTTACATCCGAGTAATTACTTATGCAGAGAGTTATAGAGTAACCTTCTTCAATCCACATTTTACTTATTCTTCCAAACAAAAAAGAGAAAAAGAGAAAAAAAAAAAAAGTGTAACAGATATTTTGCACGTAAGTAAAATGTGGATTGAATAAGTAAAATGTTTGGCATTTATGGGGATCTTCTTTCAGATTATTCATGCATAAAAATGACATATGAAATGGAAGTATACGTTTTGCCAGAAAGAAACGGCGGCACAGAAAGGGCATGGATTTTTTTTTAAAAAAAAAAAAAGAAAGAAAATTAAGCAAAAAGACTAATAATATTTACTGAGAACGAGGACAGGGCCTGCATTTTCCGCTTCGATCTTAAGTTGATTAGAACAGAAGTACTAAATTAGCAAAGAGGGTCGAGTGAAGAGAAAAGACAGGGAAGGTGGCATTGAATGCTTGATTCAACCTCCAGAGGGGTACTTTTTAGTTTGCCCAAGTCAGAAATACCATTTTTTATTTTGCCCAAATTTTTTTACTATTCATCACAATAGCCTTCCAATGCTGAAAAGACTAAATTACCCTTAAAATGTTATA